AGCTAAATCCCCGGCTATCTGTTTTTAACAGTGACTTCAACACTCATCTTTTTTGGAAACATCTTTTTTGTTTTTAAGAGAAAGACATACTACTGAGGTATATACTGGCTTAGAAAGTAGATTGCTAGCTGAGTTGCTTATTTTCTTCCTTGAAAAAAATTAAATAGTAAGATGTCAAATAGTAAAGTAAAAACCAAAACTAGATAAGAAGAATGAATTTGCCTTTCAATTTAATAAAGACAATCTCTGAAAGTGCTTTTGTTCAGCAGCTTTTTTTCAAGTTTAGACACTTAATCAACCACTGTGAAGTTCTATAGCTTATAAGATCATTCTGCAATGGAAACAGAATTTGAGGTTGAACAAGACTAATAGGTTGTGCTTCTGGTCAGTCCATTGGGATTCTTAGTTTATATTCAGATAAGTAAGGCTTTCATTGTTTAAGAACATTTTATTGGTTAGGCTTCCATTGCTAGGATAAAGCATTTGACACCTACAAATTGAAGGAGGGTTTTATTTTGGCCCAGAGTTTCAGAGGCCCACGACGAGCTGGATTCGAGGCAGAAACATCATAGTGAAGTAACATGGCGGGGAAAGTTGCTCAACTCAGCATCTGGAAAGCAGGGAGCAGGGGTAGCAGCCTAGAGGAAGGGCCAGTAACCAGATATAGTGCCCAAGGTTACACCCCCAAGACCCACTTCCTCCTCTGCGTCCCCACCAGCTAACAGCCCATTCAGCTAGGAACTCGTAAGCAGGTTAACCAATTGATAAGGTTAGTATTGTCACAGTCCGGTCTCCTCTCCAGGATTCCTTTAGTTCAGTAAGTTTGACAATCTAGACAAACTGGTGTACTTATAAATTTTTATAATCTATGTACGTTAAAGCAAGTTGTCACCAGACAAATAGTATCCATTAGATCAGAGGCACTTTCCTTACCATATACAGAAGAGATTTAATTTGTGAGGCACAATTATAAACATCCACTAATAACAGCCTAAAAACATTATTAAAGCTTTCTGACAATCTCAAATATAAAAAACAAAAAATTGCTGCAAATAAGCGCTCAACCTGTTATAGGGTATCTTTTATTTTGAATAGACCCAGTTTTCTAAAACTGATAAGTTCAGTGAAATAACACGTTACCTGCAAATCATTAAGGCAAGTAATAAAGACTTTTTCTGATAGGTTTGTTTTTGGTTGTTTTTGTTTTGTTTGTTTGTTTGTTTGTTTGTTTGTTGAGCCAGGGTCCCTGGAGCTCACTTTGTAGCCCAGGCTGGTCTCAAACTCACAGCAATTCTCCTGCCTCAGCCTCCCAAGTGCTGGGATTACAGGCATGCACCACAACCGGCTCCCTGATCGGTTATTTTAAAAGTGTATTTAAACTTTGGATTTAGCTCAGTGGTTCCGCCACCTGCCTTGCAAGTGCAAGGTCCCAAGTTCAATCCCCAGTTCCCAAAAAAAGTGTATTTAAACTAAAAGTAATAAGAGTTTTAAATAACATCCTTATAATGATAACTTCTCTATGACTGTTTTGTTTATTGGGGTTTTTTAGTACTGTAGATTGAACCCAGGGCCTTTGTACTGATATAGATAGATAGATAGATAGATAGATAGATAGATAGATAGATAGATATTCAGCCCTTTTTTAAAGTTTTGAGACAGTCTCCATAAGTTTCTATTTTTTTCAGCTTTAATTGAGCACATTGGTACATTTTAGGGATACAGTACAGTTACATTCATTGTTGGGAGTTTGTACCTCTACATGACAGGTCTTGGTTACCATAAGTTTCTAAATTGCCCAGATTGAGCTCACACTTATGATCCTCCTCCCCTCCATTCCCAGAGTTCAGGTATTACAGGCCTGTAGCGTCATGCCCAGTTGATCAGAATGTTTCATGCATTTAATGGGTAGAACATAGAATTTTCATAACTAAGATGAAATAGGAAAATGAGAAGAGGCTCTTTGCTTCGACTATGTTCCCAGGCTTCTTATAAAAATGTTCACTCCATGAAGTTCCGGCTATTTTAGCAAAAAAAATTTGAGAAGTTCCATTATCCATCATTTTGTTTTTTTCTGTCTGTGATGAATTGAAAAGCTACTTTTCTACTAGATCTTCATATCAGGTTTGTAACAAGAAAGAGAACATAAGATAGGCCAAAAATATTGGAAAATAATTTTAAGTGCAATATATATGTATTTTAATCTATTTTTAAAATAAATAGTACAATAGTAATGTCGTGTTTGTAAGTATATGTTTATTCTAATATATTTTATAAAATAAAATTTCATGTTAATGATACATTTAGGTATGGATTTATACTTAATATATACACACATACATAGATATAAATCACATTCATACATGTTGTATCTCTAAAGAATAGCAATTGTAATATAATTTTAATCACAGGATATATAATAAAAGCTAATATTTGCTATTATAGGTCCTTTATAGGGTTGATCTTATTACAGGGACACTATGAGGTAGTATTAATTATTGTCACCATTTCACGTGGGAAAACAATCATAGTAGATCATAGTGAATAATTCTTACTCTTCCTGGATTTTAGGAAAACTGGGAGCAGCTGAGAAATCTCCACTTACCTGGTCTTCTGGCCTAGGTATATTAGCAGAAGACAGGAATGGAGTGGCTTCAGTATAGGTCCGAGGTCATACGAGTCTCCTGCGTGTCTGTGTCGTCCATCCCCTTTAGGTATATCCGGATTGGAGATAAAGAATGTGAGTTCAACAAGAACTTTCGCCTCATTCTGCATACAAAGCTGGCAAATCCTCACTATAAGCCAGAATTACAAGCTCAGACAACCCTCCTCAATTTCACCGTCACAGAAGATGGTCTGGAAGCCCAGCTACTGGCAGAGGTTGTCAGTATTGAAAGGCCAGATTTAGAGAAACTTAAGGTAAAATTATTGAATTATTCACCAGTGACTCAATACCTCCTTTCTACAAATTACAGTGCAAAACACAGTAGTGTGAAATGGAACACTTGTCTGCACAGTCTAATTGAGAAAATTGTATGTGAAAAAGTAAGTAGTTCAAGGTTACTTCTGAAGGCGCGTAGTTAGGGTTATGCCACAGGTAGGAGATGGGTTAGTTCTTGTTCTTGTTTGATACATTGGACAAGGATGGCAAAGGCATCTATCATTCATGGAAAACAGAAGTATAGAAGCAGGTACCTGCTTGGGTAGGTTAAAGTCTACAAGACCAGGTTAGCCAGTGAAAATAAATGGCAATGAGCTGAAAGAAAAAGGTTGAAGAAATTATAAGGAGCTGATAGCAGCTTATAACTAACATATAAAAGAAAATTTATGGCTTTTAGTATACTGATTAAGGAAAATAAATACTAAATTAATTACATTCAGTATTACACTGAAAACAAGAGAAAAACCTAAAAATAGGGAAATAAGGCAATAATAAAAGCAAAGAATGACAGAAACAATAGAGTATTTTTAAAAAGCTAGTTAATTGGGTGGAGAAGAACCCAATAGATGCACCTCTGGAAGGGATAATCAAGAATAAAAGCCACACCTGCCTCACAAGTGCAAGGTACTTGTTCAATTTCTGGTACCCTCCCCCCAAAAAAGAAAATAAAAAGAAAAGAGAAAAATAAAGAATATTAAGACTAAAGAACACACATAGAGAAATTAAAATGTGGAAAAGGCATATGGTACCCACTTTTCTAACAATAAATTTGAAAACTGAAATAGTAAATAGTGTATTTATGCATTGTGAAAATTAAGAGAGTTTACTTTGCTGACCTAATATTTCCAAGGTTCCTCTGTGTGGTAGCATGTGTGAAAAATTAATTATTTTAATGGATGAATATAGTTCATTGTATGAATATTTACCATTTTATCCACTCAGCTGATGGACATTCAGATTGTTTCTGCCTCTGGACTATGATTAGATAACTTTGTTATGAGTATTTATGTACACCCACTATTTGTGTGCAGATTTTGGTGTGTACTTGTATCTTAAATTCTTCTGGATATCTGCTAGGACACAGTTGCTCAGCTGTTTGGTAATTATGTTCTGAATTGGTTAATAAACTACTGGACTGTTGAAAGCCTGCAGTATTTTACATCTCCACCTGCTATATATCATCTTAAAGGGTAGAATATGTTGTCTCGTTATGTTTTTTTTTTTCATTTCCCTAAAGTCTAATAATGCTGAGCATCTGTTCATATATTTGTTGGCCTTTTGTGAATCTTTGGGAGAATTATCTATTCAAATAATTCCCTCATTTTAAAATTTGTTTATTTTCGTTGAGAGGTTATGAAAGTTCCTTGTTCTAAATGTTAGACTTTTTGGAGATATATGATTTACAGAATACACATTTTAAGTGTTCTTTTTTTACTTTCTTGATGATCTTTGGAAAAACAATATAATTCTGGTAAAGTTCAACTTATCTACTTTTCTTTGTTGCTTATAATTTTGATATTATATCTAAGAAACCATTGAAGACACAGTTTAAGTTTTATTCCTAGATTATTTCTTCTAGGACTTTATAATTTTGACTCTTACATAAGTCTGTGATCAGTTTTAAAGTAGTTTTCTAGTGTGAGAAAAGGAATGCAACTCCATTCTTTCGCATGTGAATATCTAGGCTAGCACCATTTGTCAAAAAAATCATTTTTTCTCCCTTGAATTTATTTTTGCTTCCTGTCAAAGATCATCTTGCTTCTGTGGATCTGTTGCTGAGTTTGCCCTTCTGTTCTATTGATCTGTTTGTTCTTTGATTAGCACCATACCGTCTTGATTACTGTAGTCTTTAAGTCATGTAGTGTCAGTCCTCCATCTTTACTCTTCCGTATGTCATGGACAGTTCTACATCTTATACCTTTCAGTATAAATTTTGAAATCAAAGGATCACGGTTAACAAACTAATAGGCTAGGGTGTTGATTGCTATTGTTTTAAATCCCAGAAAGGATGAACTGGTGTCTTAACACTAACTTCCTATCCATGATCATGGAATATTTCCCCATTTTTTAGATGTTTTTTTATCAAACTTTTGTACAGTTCTCCATATAGATCTTCAACATGTTTTTTTCAGATTTATACTTCAGTATTTTTATATGAATTCAATTAACGTTGTGTTCTAAATTTCAAATTCCAGATGTCCATTGCTGTAATACAGAAAAGTATGTGGCATTAGTATATTAGCCTATTTAGAACTTTCTACATAGTCATGTCATATATGAACACAGACTTTGGTTTTTTGGTTTTGTTTTATTCTTGCTGCATTAGTTGGAACTTCAAATACAGTGTTGAACAGTAGTTATAAAGAAGAATATCCTTGCATCCTGATCTTAAAGGGAGAACATCTAGCTTCTCGCCATTAGGCATGATGTAAACTGAAAATCTTTGTTTTTTAGATATTCTTTATAAAGTTAAGGAAGTTACCCTCTACTTCTGGTTTGTTGAGAGTTTTCATCATGAGTTGAGGGTGGAATCGTATCAAATGTTTTTCCTAAATCTAGTGATATAATCACATTCTTTTTGGTCTGTGGCCTATTGTGTAACAGATTGTATCATTTGACTTTTGAATTTCAAATCAGATTTTCATGCCTGGAATAAATCCCACTTGGCATGATATATAATTATGTTTATACATTATTGGATGTGATTTACTAATATCTTGTCAAGGATTTTAATCTTGGGAGATGCTGGTCTATAGTTTTTTTCGCTTCTAATGGCTTTGTCTAGTTTTATTATTAGGGTATTGCTGGCCTTATAAAATGAGTTAAGAAATATTCTTCTGCTTCTGTTTTCTAGAATAAAGTGTAGTGATTCTATGTCATTTCTTCCTTAAATCCTTACTATAACTCACCAGAGAAATCATCAGAGCTGATACTTTCTGTTTCAGAATGTTCCTGATTATTTATTCAATTTTCCAATACACTTGCAGCCTATTCAGATCACCTATTTTCCCTTGCATGAGCTTTTGGTAGATGGTGTCTCCTAAGATAATGGTCTGCTTCATCTAACTTACCAAATTTGTAGGCAATTGTTCATATTTCTTTATTTCCTTTAATATCTAGGGACTTGTACCCTCTTTTTCATTTGTAGCATCAGTATTTTATATTCACATTCATTCATTCATTCTCTCTCTCTTTCTGCCTGGCTAGAGGGTTATAAATTTTATCGATCCTCTCAAATAACCTGCATTTTATTTTATTGATTTTTCCCTATTGGCTTTTTATCAATTTCATTGATTTCTGCTGTAATTTTTAATTATTTTCACTTGCTTGCTTTTTTAGTTTATTGCTCTTTTTTAAGTAAACATTTATACAAAATTTAGATCTTTTTCTTTTATGTATGCAGTTAATGCTATAAATTTTCCTCTAAGCACTCTTTTTACTGCCTTTTTTAAACCAATTTTGGGTGGTGGTTTTCTTTTTTCATTTATTTCAAAATGACTTTACTTTCTCTTGAGACTTCTTTTTTCACTGAAGTATTATTTTATAGTATGTATGTTGTTTAATCTCCATGTACTTTGGGATTTTCTGGCTACCTTTCTGTCAGTGGTTTCTTAATTTTGTCATGGTCTAGCACCATAGTTTGCATGATTTCTTTTAAACTTTTTCAGGAGTGTTTTATGGCTTACTGTTGGATCCATCTTGGTGAATATTCCATCTGAGCTTGAGAAAAATGTATTATCATGCTGTTGTTGGAAACAAATTCTATAAATATCATTAAATCTAGTTGATTGTTCGTGTCTCACCATTCCACAGTAGCATTACAATCCATTAATTATGGATATAGGAGTTTTGAGTTCTCCAGCTATAGATAATGGACTTGTCTGTTTCTTGCAGTTTCATCATCTTGTCTCTTGTATTTTTACTCTCTTATTCAGTGCATAAAATTAAAGTTTGTTATATTTTCATATGGAATTGACTCTTTTATTATTATGTAATACATCTGTTTGTTCTTGATAATCTTCCTCATTCTAATACCTGGTTTGTTTGATATTAACATACTTCTCCAGCTTGATTAGTGTTCTCATGGTGTATTTTTCTCCTTCTTTATATTTTTAATTTGTCTTATTATATTCAAAGTTTGTTTTTGTAGACAGTAGATAAATGAGTCTTGTTATCTACTGTCAGTCTCTTAATTGATTTAAGCAATTGATATTCTATGAAATTATATAATTGAATTAATATAAACCATATTTGCCTCTATTTTTGTTCACTGTACTCTTTCCTTTTTATTTTTCTCTTTTCTTCTTTCTACCTTCTTTGATCTTGGGTATTTTATATGGTTCTTAAGATATGCTATAGGATTTTTTTTTAATGTTAATGCTTGCTCTTGTGCCAACTAATACAATTCTGGAGTTCGTGAGAGAATTCTGTAATCTTATGATTAATTCTCAGAGGATTTAAGAATTTCTTAGCCTTTTCCTCCCTTCCTTTGTAAGCAGAAACTATTAGGGGCTGAGGTGTCCAATTACCCTTTTCCTAGGTCACAGTAGCCCATGGTAAAATACTTTCCTTTGTGGGCAGGCTTTTGTTGAGAAGGATAGAAAACTCTGGAAATAATTTTAAATGGTTGCATTTTAGCCCTGAGTTACCACAAAGATTCATTTTTCCCTCCCCTGCTCAATGTAGGAGTGGATTTTTGTTTTATCTCTGCTGTAAAAACCTGGTGTAGGAATCCCGGAGGTAAAAGTGTGGCGACTCCCTTATTTCTGGTCCTGGAGAAATTTTTAAATTTCCTGCTCTGCCTTCTACAATCATCCAATTAGTTCAGGTGTTCTAGTAGTGATTTTCCATATTTGCCTGTCCAGTTTTCAGGGTAACAGTTTACCCTGTCACCTCATTTGTCTGGTGGAAGAATTATTGCTTGCAAATGCGTCTTCTAAACTCCTTTCCAAGTGAAAACCGAAAGTTTCTGATGCTTTCTTAAACAGATGCTTCCTGGAGTTCTGTGATGTTAGATAATGATGGTAAATCATTGTATGATGTACTCTGCACATTGGGATCCAACCAGATCTTAACATGTTTTCTGAATTTCTTAGGAGAATTTTTTAAAAATTATGACTGGTGTGGTTTTAATGTTAAGCGTGTTTTATTATACTGGCTTCATGAGATGTGTATTAACTCCCCTTGAAAACATGCATTTCTTTACCATTTCTCAACTGTTTGTATTAGTTGGCTTTGACCAAGCACCAAAATGACTTTAAGATTGAGCTGAAGCACCTTGAAGACGACCTCCTTCTGCGCCTTTCTGCCGCAGAGGGAAGCTTCCTCGATGACACTAACCTGGTAGAGAGATTGGAGACAACCAAGTCCACTGCAGCAGAGATAGAGCTCAAGGTAGGACAGGGCGTAGGCCACCTGGGATGGGTAGTTCACAAGTGGTAGTTCTGAGAGGACTAACATTGTGAATCCAGGTCATTGAACAAACTGCCCTTAAGAACTGGATTTAGCATGGAGATGGAAGAGGGGTGAATTTGCCATTCTAATTCCACACGGATCAAGTCATTCAATTCAGGCTCTGTTAAGATACTCTTTTTCAGGTGACCAAATTGAAGAAAATTCAGGCTAGCTTATATTGTTAGAAAAATCTAAAAAAGCTTAGAATTCAGCTTGAGCAAACTAATATGCTAAAGCGTCACTGCAGATTTTACCAGTCCGTTGGACATTTTTAGAGAATTCCTCAGAGCTGAAGTTTTGTTTAGAGTCCTGCAGCAGCAGAAGACTGATCCACAAGTGGTCTCCCGCTGTATTCAAATGCATTGTTTACCCTAGGAAAATGACGTTTCCTAAAAGCTGGTTAAAATTTTTCATCATGTAGACTTCCTGATGAATGAACATCTTGGGTCCCAATATGCCATATGCACTTTGGACTTTCACAAGTGGAATTTAACCCTTCACAGTCTGTTGTTGCAAAGTCAGAATTAGGCCCTTGTTTGCTTTCCGGAATATCATCATTACTAAGTACTCTTTCAGTTACATGCCAGCAAAAGTTGTGTAGCCATACATCCAATATATTTGTCTCAGTTTAAACCAGGAAATGGAATTCCCAAATTACACTATCTTTTTAAGTAAGTGAATTCTAGGTGGCTCCTAAGATAGTAAAGATTAGGGCAATTAAGTAAATTAAGTCTTAGCTTTTGAAGTTAACTTCTAATTGTCTCTTAGAGTATCACTTCCTCTTGTCTTAATATACATATTGGTGTGTAGTGATTTTTTCCTTTTATCTATAAATATCATGAGTCAAGTGTATAAGAGTTTTTGGGGAAAATATTGTATCTTATAAAGCTATAGATACAGTAACTAGCAGTAGCTCAAGATAAGTAGGTATTTGGATATTAAATAAAAATGAGTATTTTCATTGACAATGGTGGTGTTTTTTTTTAATTACCTCTCTGAATGTGCCCAGAGGCTAATACATTAAAGTAAGTGTAAATACATGAACATAGGGATGATCTGGTACAAAATTAGAATTAGACAGTCTTGAGAGTCTCCATTTAAAGGCTTTTTAGTGAGCAGTAGCCATTGGATATGTTACTGACCTTGGCCGCTTTTATATACCTGGTTGACTAATAAAGTTATTGGCATTGAATTGACCCAGCACACTTTTAAGAGCCATCCCTCGGAGGTGATATAACTGGGTTATTAAGCCCTGAAAGAGAGAAGGGAGGCAGGAAGGTGACATTACTCCAAAACAAATTCTGTGGAACCAAAAACAATTACGTTTGCTTAAATCTGTAATTTATAAAGCAGCTAGAGTTATATCCATTCTCACTGAAGTACAGCTTATGAAAAAATTATTTAAAATATGAATTTAATAACTTTGGAAAAACTCAGACACATAGACACACATGTGTATTGTCTAATTTCAGATGTGTCCTTCCCTTTCTTGGATATACACGGGGAAGTGAAGAGTGAGTTTTTAATTTTCTTTGATCCCTTCCTAGGTGATTGAAGCCAAAGAAAATGAAAGAAAAATCAACGAGGCTCGAGAGTGTTACAGACCGGTGGCAGCAAGAGCGTCTCTTCTGTACTTTGTTATTAACAACCTCAGAAACATCAACCCCATCTATCAGTTCTCTTTGAAGGTAATGCTGAGGAGGCAAAGGAAAATTAAAAACCTCAGAAACATCCACTTGTTTCTGGAAATTAGGGTTTTATTTCTAAATAATCAGTGTTTCCAGGAAGGAATCGTGAGCACTGAGGTGGCAACAATGACGTCATCGTCATTCTCTCGGGATCTTTCATTTGTAATAATCCGTGCGACTCTGAGGTAACTAAATGTGACGTGTTGCATTTGTATGTTGCTTCTGAAGAATCTTAAAGATTTGCTACACGACAAGGGGTTTTTCTTTGGGCTTCTATTTTGTCTTTGTGAAAATGTAGGAAGTCTTAGATTTCTCCTGTCTTTTTGGGAAGAGGGAAGAAAGAACATTAAAGCCACTGTTACATATGCAAGGTACCTATATATTTTGAATCATTTTTCTAAGCCTATAACATCCCATTAAAGTGTATAATTTTATCCACATTGAAAAAAACTACAAGTTTCAGATTTTTAAACCAATTGTCCAATACTATTCTGTAGTTGCAAGAGCCAGCATTTCAGCCTGTGCCTGTTTGACCCTAAAGCCCATGCAGTACACGTTGCATCTTTCTGTCTCTGGGCAGTGTTTATTCATTCAGAGCTTCAGGTTTTAAAGAAATGTTTATTGAGATTAATTGTGCTAGATGCTTGTCACCAAGTATTCAGTTTTGTAAAAACTAGGTGGAGGGATAGATAGATGACAGATACATCTGGGCCTATGAAATGATAAGTAGAATAATGGGTATGGAGCTGCTTTGCTGGGGACTCAGGGACGGGCCCGCCAGAGGGACTGACATTTTAATTGATGCCTAAATAACAAGGAGGATTTTCGAGTTTGGAAGAAACAGGGACACGAGAAGAAGTTTGCAGATCCCAGGGAGTGAGTGGATATATGTGGATGCAGGTGAAAGAGAGGGACGAGAGCCAAATCCAGAGAGGAGGGAAGGACTCAGCAAACAGAGCCTCACAGCTCATGTCAGGGACTTGGGGTTACACTCTGTGTGCAGCAAGAAGCCATTGGAAGATTTCCAGCAGGTGACTGAAGCAATGACAAAAGACTCAGAAATGAACAAACTGGAGACGTGACTTGAAGCTGTGATCACGCGCTCTTGGAGATGGACCGGCCATGGCTGTGACCAGTGACAAAGAGAAAGAGTCAAGCATAACTAACAGTTTTCCTGGAGAAATTACCCTGAGTGAAGTCAGCCAATCGCACACACACACACACACACACACACACACACACACACACGCACACACACTAATAATGTGTGACTCCACTCACATGAGCTAACTAGAATAGTCAAGCTCATGGTGTAGAAAGCGGAATGGTGGGACTGCAGGACAGGGGTGGGAGCAGTCGTCATTTGTTGAGTACAGAGTTTTGATTTCATAGGATGCAAGTGTCCTGGAGATTGGTTACACAACAGTGAATACACTTAAGACAACAGAGCTGTACGCTTAAAATTGTTAAGATGGTGAGGTTTGCTGTGTGTGTATTTTAACGTCGTTTAAATTTTTTGAAAGCAATTTTTAAAGTACACAAGGAAATGTAGATTTTGTGAGTGGTGTTAATAATAACAGTAATGGCAGCAGACACTTAATGAGCAGTGAGCACGTGCCAGGAACTGTCCTTAAGAATGACAGAATGTTCGTGCAGATCCTCCCTTGCTCTCCTAGCCCATAGATAAACCTTATGCGCTAGCCTTGTGTATTTGAGGCCAGCTGCACATCTAGGCACCAACTGACAAGCTTTAAAGGTTAAATTACACTTCCCAGGCTTTCAACATGCTGTTCCATAGAGCAATCGAGCAGGCCGACAAGGTGGAAGACACGCAGGGGCGCATCTCGGTCCTCACAGAGAGCCTCACTCGCGCTCTCTTCCTCCACACCGACCAAGCACTGTTTGAGAAGGACAAGCTCACCTTCCTATCCCAGATGGCTTTCCAGGTGAGGAGATCAGTTCCTTGAAATCATCCTCAGAGGGGCCAGGAATTTAGCTCAGTGGTTCTGCTGCCTGCCTCGCTAGTGCAAGGTCCCAAGTTTGATCCCCGGTACCTCCCCTCAAAAAAAATCATCCTCAGAACCACAGGCGAGTACCTCTGTTTGTCACGTGCTTGACTTTTGCTGAAGGGAGGCAGGGATAGTTTTCAAAGCCTTTGGTGGCATGAGGAGAGTGTAAGGTTCCACAAGGAAGTTGAACGTGTGCAGCCTTCCCCTACCCAGTGGTCTGGTGTAAGTGGCTACATTCATCGAGCTCTCACTACAGCTGCCACCCTGAAAAACGTCCGTGAAGCCCTTTTACCTCCCCCAGTCCTGTAAACAATCTCCCAGGGCCAGTTTTAGTGGTGCATACACATACTGGCCGCGCCGAGGAAGGAAGGTGACAAGCTCAAAGCCAGCCTGGGCGACTTACAAAAAAGAACTTCTACATTAAAAATAACTAAACTAAAAAGGATTAGAGATGTAGCTCAGCTACATATGTAGTTTTCCTAGCATGCGTGAGGCCCTGAAAGCTGAGACCCTGAAAAGAGCTTTCAGGGCCTACAAGAAGGTTCATGTAGATCGGTATTTCAAGTCTAGATCTGAGTGGTCCTAGGACCTTCTCAGAGTCCTTATAAAACACAGTAAGAGAGGAAGGGGAAAGGGATAGAAAATGATCAAGACATCATGTATATGTGTGCACATTTAACAGTTCCCCAAAACGAATATAAATATGTAAACACATACCAATAAAAATATAGAAAAAATTTTTAAATAGTGTATGGGCACATTTATGTTGTTATAAATGACAGGAATTCTTTTTTGTTTTGTTTTGTTTTTTGGAGACAGGGTCTCACTATGTAGTTGAGACTGAACTGTAACTCACTATGTAACCCAGGCTAGTCTCCAACTCACAGCAATCCTCCTGCCTCAGCCTCCCGAGTGCTGGGATTACAGGCATGCGCCACCACACCCGGCTAGGAATTCTTTATTTTTAAAGGCTAAACAATGTATTATTGTGTATAGTTAATGTATATTGCCAAACTGCTAATGAGTAGATTTTAAATAGTCTCATCACAAAAATGATTAGTATATAAGGTAATACTTATGTTAGTTATATTGGTTTACTATTTCCACAATGTAAATATGTATCAAAGCATCATATTTTGGCCCAGAAATACATTTACTTAGTATTTATCAGTTCAAAATAAATTATTTTTTAAATGAACGGGTGGGTAGAGTTTCATCTTCAGTGAGACCTGCTTCCTTTTTACTTGTGGATTTCTAGAAAAGATTTTAAGTAAAGGTGTCTGCGACAAGAAAAAGAAAAATGAAAGAAAAACTGAAGCACAGCATTCTGACAAAATTAAGCATGTTGTCCTTTTATTAGCTAGGTTGCTATATGGCTTTTTCAATCACCCCAAACCTTTAAAAGATCTGTGTCTTACCTATTTTGTGTCTTCCGAAAGGCCCTTCCCAGAGATACCATTTTGCAAACACCTTTCATGCAGAGTTATAAGCTGTGTCTTGTTTCAACGTGTTCTGATATTCATAGGTTCCACTGAGTATTCTAAGAACATATGAGTGTAGATATTTTAAGATATCTGTGATAAACAGGAACAAAATATTACAGAATGAAATATTTGACTTTACATACACTGCTGCTTAACAAGAAAGAGCCAGGGATGATAATATATCACAAAAACACACACCTTTCTAAAACTTCTTCTTGGAAGCCATAGATAAATTATAATCTATCTCAAATCCTGATGATCTATATAAATCAGCATTTCACATCTACACGGACAATTATTTGTTTGTTGTATGTATGTTAGCACCCATAAAAACATTTGGAAAATATGTAGAATTTTTAGATAGCATAAACCTCCAATTTTATCTGTGAGATATTACAATTACTACCTGGAAATTAAGAATATTTCATTTGTGCCTGTGAAAATGTAGTGTGTACTTACTCTCACTTCTGTAATCAGGCTATCTAAAGTTTGTACTCGCTAAAGCTGTGTTTATTTCCAGTCCTGGTTTTGAGATCATGGGCATAATCTAAGATTCTCTACTTCGATTATAGAATAGGCGTCTGCCACGATTCTTGGCGGAGTTGGTTCTGTCTCTTCAGTCGTGTCTGTTCAGTGGAACTGCTTCCTGTGTCATGATATGAGTGTAAACCAAATGATCCTTTTCTATTTTTTGAACTCTCGAGATTTTGTTGAGAAAGCAAGAGATCAACCCTCTCGAATTGGATTTCCTGCTTCGATTCAAAGTTGAACACACTTATTTGAGTCCGGTTGACTTCTTAACTACTCAATCGTGGAGTGCTATTAAGGTATATTAGGAATGTAGTTTCTCTACTTCTAAATCTTTTTCAAATATTGTATATCCAATATAGAAATGTAGTTTAAAAATACAAGTAATCTATCAGACACCATTTCAGTTGTAGACACATGTTCTATAATGTGATGTTCTTTCATTAATCTTTGTTTCATTGAATTGGTTGATTTTCTATTGGAAGATAAAGGAACTTTTTACCTATTTTGTGAATAAGTAGGAAATCACTAATAATTATGTGTAGTCTGTTAGGACCCTTGATGAAAGCTGATGTAGATGAATTTTTGAATTTACTTAAATCTAGTTTTTCATTCTGGTTTTTGTTGTTGTTGTTGTTGTTGTTGTTGTTGTTATACTATATTTCTCTACCTTTTCTAAACATTTTAAAATTAAACATCAGTGCAGTGTTTTATTCTCATTATAAAATGTTTAAGCAAAACAAACTATTGTAGAGAAAAATGAGAGTCCTTTAACTGCAATTATCAGGCCTGATTCCATTTTCCTGTCAAAAGACCTTCTTGTTTAAAGTTTATTCTCCCTTGGGCCTGGGATTTAGCTCAGTGGTACTGTGCCTGCCTCCTGTCTTGCAATTGCAAGGTTCTGAGTTCTTTCCCTGATATTAAAAAAAAAAGGTTTCTTCTCCCAGACTTTGCAGTTCCTGAAAGATGTTCACCATAAGTTAAGCTTTGCCTCATTCTTTACTCTAAGAAGAAAACATTTCTATGCATTGAAAATATGCTCTACCTTATTTTTTTATAATAAATGTAGAATTTTTAAATCAGTGTTTTAAATTAGGTTATCATCTTAAACTTATGACTTCACTGTCAAATGTGTTATCAGTCCAGGTCTTGGTAGAAAACAAATGACACATTTGAAGAGGTGATGAGGGAAGTTTAGTAAAGGATACATTTTCACAGTATGAGCAAGAAGGATAAAGGAGAAAACCAGGGAAGGAGAAGGAGAAAAGAAAGCAACGAAAAGTGACTGGTACCACTGAAATGCGAAGTTAGTTGCAGACAGCCAACCTATGGGATGTATAGCATTGGGAGAGGACGTTAACTCGTCACACCATGTCCAGGGGCAGTGGGCACCTGGCCTTTCTTTCCTCTAGCTCCCCAGTGTTTCATCATTGGCCAAACCCAACCAGCAAGAGATTTGGGGCGCTTAATTGAAGTTGTCCTTAAAGATCACCCTCTAAGCAGGACAGGAAAGGGCAGAGAGCGAATCTGGAGAGGAAAGTGAGGGCTATCCAGCACAATCTGTTTACATAGGATCAGCTCATTCATAAGTCTGCTCATGCTGGAAGCTCTTATTTATGGCATTCCCACCTGTTTCCCTATTGCATTACAGGCAGTCGCCCTTATGGAAGAATTTCAAGGCTTAGACCGAGATATAGAAGGATCTGCCAAGCAATGGAGGAAGTGGGTAGAATCTGAGTGTCCAGAAAAAGAAAAGTTACCTCAAGAATGGAAGAAGAAAAGCTTAATACAGAAGATGATTATTTTGAGAGCAGTGCGCCCTGACAGGATGACATATGCTCTCAGGTAGGACAGTTGGCCTTCTTGTAGATGCAAGTTAATCTAGAGGGTTAAGAGTACTTACTAGAGGTGCTGACTGTCTCTCTTCACTAGGTGTGAGTCTGCTGAGGTTCCAAAATTTTAGTCACCACTGCTGTCAAAGTTTGCTAAACACTAAACAGTGTGCTGCTGGTCTCTAGGCAAACTCAGCACAACCTTCCTGAAAACCTCACTTCAGAAATCAGAAGGGGACTTGGCGAGATGGATGTTAGCCGAGTTCAGAGGCCAGGAACATGTATTATCCAAATGTAATTCCCATCATCTTTATTCAGTGGTAGCATTTAACGCTAAAGATTTTACTTGTCAAACAAAAAAATGAATCCTTTTCGTGGAGCCACTCATGGTCCTAAAACTTTGCAACCAATGCAATTAAAAAACAGAAATTCTTATCTACATTCTGGTTCCAGTGTCCTCTTTTCTTTGCCCTCTTGGTTTCTCGTGGTTAATTCACACAGGTCTTGTTCTAGTGTGAATCACCAACCAAAGAGTTCAGACTTCCTTCGCTATTGTGCACCTCTTTCTTCAATAATATTCATGTGCCTCAAGTTTTTTCCTCTGCTTTATTTAGTTCAACCAATTTTCCTTTTGCAGAAACCTCTGCCGAACCCTACTTTACAAGTTAATTCTGCTTAGTAGTACTTTCTGCTAAATCTGATGCTGCGGAAAATAATCCCTGCTTAATTGAGCTTCCCCATGTTAGAAACACCCCAAAAAGCATTTGTATATTCATGAGAAGCTCAGCAGGCTGGAAAATTGCACTGTGGCAAGTCTAATGAACTGTTAATAAGTAATGGGGGAATCTGGCAGGGGATTTGGGGGATACAAAGCCATACCGAAGGCCAGGCAGCTGATGGTACTCAGAGGGGGGTCTCAGTGGCCCCCCAAAATAGAATACAGGTTTCTGATTTTGACCTTCTCACATAGAGAGAAGTTTTATTGATGTACCTCCTGTGTAAATCTATGTGGATTCATACTGTCATTCTAAAAAGATACCCCATATAATGAACATGGTTTACTTCTTTCCAATGCCTGTGGTTTAAGTTTATCCAACTGGTAACACTTTTCAAAGTCAAAATCAATGATCAGTTTTTTGTATATTCTTTTTTATAGAAATTTTGTGGAGGAAAAACTTGGTGCAAAATATGTGGAGAGGACTAGGTTGGACCTAAGTAAAGCACTGGAAGAAAGCAGCCCAGCCACCCCAGTGTTCTTCATCCTGTCCCCAGGAGTAGATGCCCTTAAAGACCTAGAGATGCTTGGTGAGTGGCCAGGAGCCTTGCTGGCCTGCCCTTCCTCCCTCCCTCCCCTTCACCCACAGCCCAACCCTCCCTTCCTTTCTGTTCACAGTTATCCTTTTTTTCATTTGTTGGAGATCTGGTGTATGGAAAATGTAAGACTAATAACACCGTAGTCTGAAGAAATGTTCAAACAGAACATTCATCTGGTTGGCATAATGCAAGTTTCTTTTGTACTGTATTCCACCTTTTGACTAAATGAGGGCCAGAGGGCAATTTTCTCCATGCTCATGTAATCTTGTGCCCCCTGTGACTAAATAATGGTCATTAGAGCAAGTCTATTCGATTGTGCAAGGCACTGTCGCTTTGTGCTCTGGATTACTATTCCCCACGTCCTACACCAGGAATACCAGGTTAATGTAGCTGTGACCTGACTGTGCTCAATTTAAACGCAGTCTCACAAGGTAAGAGCTTGTGCATTTACCCAATGAACTGTTCTTGTTCAAAAAAATGATGTGATATCTACCACATGTTGCTCCTTTTTATGAGGGAAATGCTTTGCTGCTCCTGCAGGAGTTTAGAAAGCTCCCTAACAATGCTGCCATCTATCAAAATGTCAAAAGCTTTATTATCATAAAACCAAAGGAACTGACTTCCACAGGCTTTCCTAATGCTTGCAGGGCAGCAGCTGTGGAGGCTCAAAAGGCTTCTTGCGAAAACAACAGAAGTCTAATTCAGATACTTCAGGAGAATGACCTCGAAGTATCAGGAGTGACCACAGTGTGTAGACAACAGATCTCCAGTTTTCTTTGCCTCTCCTCCATGGACATTTGCTCTCACTGTGTTGTGTTTCCACACAGGCAAAAGGCTCGGGTTTACAATTGACTCGGGAAAATTCTACAATGTGTCTTTAGGACAAGGTCAAGAAATGGTGGCAGAAATGGCACTAGAGAAAGCTTCCCGAAGGGGACACTGGGTCATACTGCAAGTGAGTATTATGTTTTCATGAACAGCACTGGGTATGAACCCACTGGCTTGGCAGTGTCAAGCACCCTGCCCAGAGGTGAAGGTCCCTCATCACAACACTGGGATTGGTGGAGCCCCAGTGTTTCTTGGGGCGTTCATGAGGTTTCTAAAGATGTTGAGAGACTCTGTTAATAAGGATGGCTTTCATCCTTGGAAAAACCATCCATGGCTTGAAAATTAAACAGTATTAGGAAGAATTCCATTGTTCTTCTGACTTGCAGGTATCTTCCAATAGTGCTGGAGGACAAATATGCCTGTAGAGTTTGCTGTACTGTTACTGTAGTATCAGCCATAAAAGTGATGCAATAGCTAAAATTAAAATAATAGGTTGATTTATTGATTTTGAAGTTTGAAAAATAATGGAGCACACTGAGAATTGTGCACATTGCTACCAATTGACAGAAACATTTTTATGTGTATGTGCATCTTACACAACCAACTCTATCTCTACCCCTAAGTAGTTGTAGCATTCCCTTTATTTGTAAATTAGACCCCCTTTACTCCTTCGCTAGGTCTGTGATTCTACAACCCAGTGTTTTCCGGGGTGCCTTCCTTAGTTGGGGATTATTGTGAGAGCCCAGCAACCCACAAAGCCCAGGCCAACTCAAGGCCACCTAGGAACTGTTGGCTGCGACACTGGTTTGCAACGCAGTCAGCTCAAAGTTTCTCTCAAGTGGACCAGTCACAAGGTACCTCATCCCTCAAGAATGGTTCCCAGGCAAAATGCTAGAGTGTGCCCATGTTCATTGATGGCTCCCTGAAACCTTTTCTGTTCCTAACTTCAAAGCCACTGCCTGGAATATTTTTTGTTTGTTTCAAGTGAACTCTTTAAGGTAGTGTTGTGGCTCATAAGACAGAGCTGATGTGACTGAACTTACACAACAAGTTTTATCATTATTTTTATTGTTTGCTTCTATGTGTAGCACAATTAAGTGTGAGAATCAGTCACATTATGACCTCAGAGCAAGCATGTAGGAGAAGAAATTTAGAGTCCTTACTTCCTGGATTCATTTCTAGGGCTGCTAAACCTGAGTGTCACAGGTTGAGTGGCTTACTCAGTAAAAACTTGATCCCTCGTAATTCAGGATGTTCAGAAACCTGAGGTTGAGGTTAAGGTGACAAAGGCATGGTTTCTTCTGAGGCCTTTCCCACAGGCTGGTAGGGGGACAGTTTCTCCCTGTATCTTAATATATGTTTCCAGGTCCTAATCTCATCTAACCATATTTAGCCTAATTACCTCTTTAAGGGATCCTATCTCCAAATACTGGGGCTTCAACCATTGAATTTTGGAGTGGATGTGATTCAGCTGGTGATACTTCCAATGTTCAGTATTTACCATGGGAATCAAACCCTAATAATGTGAACAACTGTATTGGCGCAGATATTTTTGCAAGAGAAATTTCACAAAGTACCTACATTACTATTCTCTTCCTTGTTTGCCTTCATCCTCTGTGCTTTTATAGTTGTTACTATCTTAAATGTTTTTCCTTGTTGGAAATAATTACACTTCCCTGGTTGTGATGTTCCAATCGCTGTATCAAGAACTTCTCCAAAGTAAGAGAGCACATGAGATGTAGCCTTTGTGCTCTATCCCTGCACCAGCTACCAAATTCTGCCCTGGGTGTTTGGTGTTCGAGGAGCAAACATCTGCATCATAAAACTGAAAAGTAAAGAGTGGCTATGTCAGTAGCATTTGTTTGTTTCATGATTTTTGGCAGTTGTGAGAGTTAAGAAAAATAATATGCTAGGAATACATAAGCATCTTAACAATGAATGATTACTTTCCTTTTCAGAAAGTCTTTCTTTCCTTCTATTCTTGTGAGTCCACATGCTAATAAGCAGGAGTTTATGTAGAAGTGGTTTCCATTAGAATTAATGAAGTGGATGATCAGGTATACCTCTAGCTTTTAGTTCAGCTTTACTTTATTTATTAAACTAACCTGGGTATGTCTCATTCATTGAGTTTGAACTAGTCCACTGCAAAGAAAAGTATTAGGCAACTCCAACTCAGTGGAGTTTGAGCGTTTCAGGTAGACACATGAATTGGGAGGAGATGTTGGTTTACAACCTGTGGTCATTGGGAGCACTGACTCTGTTCATTGTTTAATTCTGTTTGGGCCATTTTTTCTTTTCATGATTTGGTAATAAAGGAAAATTTAAATCGTGGTTCGCTGAGTCCTCAAGACATTTATATATAGGAGAATGTTGAAATACTATACATAATTCAAGTAATATCCAAAAATGTCCCAGAAATCATGAGCCATACTTCTTTCAGAATGTCCATTTGGTGGCCAAGTGGCTAGGAACCTTGGAGAAACTCCTGGAAGGATTCAGCCAAGGAAGCCATGAGGATTTCCGGGTGTTTATGAGTGCCGAGTCTGCACCTACACCAGATGAGCACATCATCCCTCAAGGACTCCTGGAGAATTCCATTAAGATCACCAATGAGCCTCCCACAGGCATGCTCGCCAATTTGCATGCTGCCCTGTACAACTTTAATCAGGTAAGACAGCAGAAGCAGCCTGGGCTGACAGTGTAAATCTTCTCACAAGATTATGGAGACCACCGTCGACTCATGCATCTCATTAAGAGGGGTGGAATAAAATCTCTCACATTTGCCAGGTTGATCTATAAGGGTTCCCTCTTGTGGCACTGATCACCCTATATGCTATGCTATAGCACAGGCCCTATCAAATAAAGCTTCACCCCACTTGTTCTGCAAGTTTAGTCATAACTTGTTTCTTGGACATGTGGGCTCAGAGAAACTGGCATTTACGGGCAGCACAGCAGAAACCAGCAGCAGGCAAGTCGACTGACGGGCATTAACTACTGTCAAGTGGCATCATCTAGCAGTGGCAGAGAGTGGCACTATCAATCATCAGCCCAGGGCCCAAGGCCCAAGGCTGTAACACTAAGGGCTGAGGGATACAGGCACTCCGAGCCCCAGAAGGCTGGGACCAGTGGCACTCTCAAAGCCTGGAGGTGTTAACAGAGCTGAACTTTGCCGGTTCATGATTTCTCTCCAAACTGAGCCAAGACACCCTCAAATGATTAGCAATGTAATGACTGGGAAATGTATTTAAGTTTTATACTAAAACTGAAAAATCTATAGTCACATGTGTAAGCTGAACAAGTCTTCTTTTTGAAGCTGCTGCTTCTGAAAGGTGCATGTGGAGAACCAGTATCTCTTATGACAGAAAGAGGAGCCTTTGCTATTCTTATGGATGTTGATAATGATGATGACATGTCTTTTCCTTTCCAAATGAAGCAAATTAATTACTACATATATAAGTTAATGATAGCCAAATTGCTATTTTTCTCTTTTTTAAATTATGGTATCTATATCATAACCAGATCTTCCAGTTTCCTTTTTTGTTATTGCTCTAAGTTTTTATTTCTTCTCCTGGTTTCTCAGAAATCCTTCATACGTAGTGCTTTTATTACAGAAGTACAGTGAAGCCCAGTGTAATGGCACAGGCTTGTAATCTCGGTACTGTGGGAGGCTGAAGCAGGAGGATCACAATTTGGAGCCCAGCCTGGGAAACCTGGCAACTTAGTGCAACTGTGTCTCAAAATTAAAGAAAAAAAAGGCTAAGGATATAGCTCAGGGCAAAAGCCTGGGATTAAATCCCCAGTACTGCAAAATTAAAAGTACAACAAACGCTCAAGAGGAAATACACGTGATTGGAAGATAAATATTCAGCTCCCCAATTAGAGCTGTTATCATTCTCTTTGAAGAATACCAACATGCTTCACTTTTTCTCTAGTACTTTTTGAGCCTGTACCTAAGCCAACATCATGAGGGAATTATAATAATTGATCACCTCAAAATTAAGGTATTGTGGGCCAGGGATTCAGCTCAGTGGTTGTGTTGCTTGCTTCTCAAGCACAAGGACCCAAGTTCGACCCCCAGAATGTATGGCTTGTACATACAGAAGACTGTATAAAAATAGTCACTTAAAAAGTCTTGTTGAATCCTTCATATACTTGCAATATATCTGCACAATGACAGCCATATATTTAGTTTTGCCATCTTTTAAAATTTATAATTTGTATCCACTTGCAAAACTTTGAAGTTCCTTCCCAAAATAAGTATACAGTCTTCTAAAACAGTTGTCTTTATACAAAAACAAATATGCCCCCCCAATTTTCCACAGCTATTTTTTTGTGAAGACCTCTTTGAGAATCTGGTAAAACTTTGGATACTTGGGCTAGGGAAATGCACATTCAAAAATATTATATTACATAGTTAACAATGCCCTAGCTAACAACACCTGTTATTGTCTGTTCATAACAGTGTCACTTCTTTTGACTGCTATCTATTAATTAAAGATTGTATTTATTGAAAAGACACTTAAGAATTTTAGGAAGGAATAGTTCTTTCTAGTGGAAAGTTTACTCTGAAGTATTAAGAGTAAATTTGGTCATGTAGCAAAAGCAAAAATAATCCAAGTATTTCACTAATCTTCTGCACAACCCTATTTTAGCAAAAATGTTACAGTCCTCTAGGAATGCTGAATTGTTACTATGTTAGAAAACACAATGTAATCTTTCATTTAGATTATGTAATTTAAGGGTATTTTCCTGTGCCTCTGGCTATCTGCAGATAGGTTTCCAGCACATTTTTATCAATTAGAAGTAGAGATGGCTAATTTGGAAAGAAGTGCTTAGGAAATAAAAGTTGTTTAAACAAGGCTAAAAAGTATTTCTGCTGCTTGAGAGTTCTAGAAGTGAACTCTCCCAAACTTATGTCGCCCAAAGTTGTGATCAACCTAGCTCTTTACAGCTCACCATGACCCCATCCAGCTGTAAGATTTTCAGTCCCATATCCATGTTACCAGAGAGGGAAGAGAAGAGGGGGGGAAGAAAGTGAAAGAGCATTTCCTGTACTTACATACTTATGATAAAATAATGCATAAACAGCACAAGGGATTAACAACAAAAATTAATAAAATAAAACAATTATAACTATCGTAGCTATTTAAAGCTTACAGACTGTATATTTCTGGAACTTTCTCTTTAATACTTTCCAGTGGTGGTTGACTATAGGTAACTGAACTGCAGAAAGCAAAGTTACAAATAAGGAGAGACTGCTGTATACAATACATAGCTCTTTCATCTCATGGTCAGATTTAATCACAGTGTGTTGCCTAGCTGCAAGAGAGGCTGGGAAAAATTAAATTTATCTTGGGCAGATAAACATGAGCACAGAAACATTTTAGGGCAGGTAACACGTGTTCTCTGTCAGATATGTTCCTTTCTAAAATCTCCTTGTGTCTTTCCAGACATTCTACTTTGCTTACATGCCACATCTTGCCAAAGTCTGTGAAATGACCAAAGAGGAATAAGTACTACCTATCTACCTTGTTGTCTACATGGGTTAGGTGAATGACACCCAGTTATTTCCGTTTCCCAAGGGTCTCTCTTAGGTGAGAAAAGAACCTAAGAGATCTAGGCAAATCAGTATTCCATGTGGGTATGTTCGTTTTCAGTGCTTTAGTTTTCAAAGCAAATAAAATCCATATTTGTAATCTTTTCTCTCAAAGTAGAAACTACTTCCAAATTTGGGCAGGTATATTCAAAATGAACAAGTTTATTAACATTAATGATTTATTTCCCCCCAGCACTTTGGAATATTTATGTCAATGTGATCATTAATTGACCAAGATATCCAGACACATTTTTTGTGGGATGCTGACAATCTGTATTCCTTTCAGCTCAGTATATCTGCTTTGTAAATATGTCATAAAGGAATACTGTTTGGGTCCCTTTCATGTAAAAATAACCATAGCTTTCAGAATAAAAATACAGATTTCTTTTCCTGTGAAATCTTTAGGCAGAAACAAATGGTAATTATGCATGTAAGGTTGGAGGCTGTGTGCCATCTAGCAGTACTATGTCTGTGTGGATGCTGATTTCTGTTCAAAGTGATATTTGCATATTTTTTGATATTGATTTGCTCATTAATTGGTTTCCAAAACTACATCTGGCCTAAATTATGAAGTGGTATGTTGATTCAAACTTTTTCTTTGATTCATATTTTGCTCCTACAATTTTAAGTTATCAAGGCATAATGAAATGAACATTCATTCATTTTTTAGAATCCAAGTAAATTATATGCAAGAATATAT